TTAACCATATTTACATTGAACCTTATGGGAAAATTTGATTCGGATCGCAACCAATTCGGGTTGCGACCAGAGTCGCGGAACGAATTAAGTTCGTGACCCAAGGTACCACTGTAGTTGCAAAAAAAAGATTATCACAGTTTTAAGCTGCATCAACAGAAGTGCAGTTTTTGAATCACACAAAGTTCCACTTTATTCTGTGTTGGTCAAACCCATTCTTGAGTACTATGTCCAATTCTGGGCAGCAGGACTAGAACTTCAGAAAGCAATGAAGGTGATCAGGAGGCTAGAAAACAAAGTGCTATGGAGACCAAATGGAAGGAGTTGGGAATGTTTCATTTTAGCACTTTTCAAGAACCTTAAAAGATATCACACAGCGTCCTCTATTGTTCCACAGTGCAGGACACAAAATAATTAATTTAAGTTACAGGAAGACAGATTCCATAAAAAAAAAAAAGAGCTAGCAATAAGATTATTTGACAGTAGAACCAATTACCAGAGAGTGGGCTCCACTACATTGGATTTATTCAAGAGAAGCTAGTCACCATCTGCCTGGCATGCTTCAATTTAGATTCTTGCACTAAAAGGGGACGGTGGGGACTGGACATGATGATCTAAAAGGTGCCTCCCAATTCTACGAATCTACTATTCATATAAAAAAAGATTATATCAACCACAATCCTTGGTCTCTCCACTGCTTGACACTAATTTAGCATTTAAAAGGTATAGAAATGAATGGAGAAGTGAAGTTCATATGTTTGAAGGATTCACATGTTGAACCTTTCCAAGAGCTCTTTGTGATAACCGAACGTCTCCAAATAAAGTTGGATGTAGCATTGAATTTTTCCATCCCTCAGTTCTGCAGGATTGGGTTAACTTCAATCCTACGTCATTCAACTGTTTTGTCATTAAATAAAAATTCCTCATCAATTTAATCTCACTTGGTTAAAATGGGGAATGGAGGGAAATGGGACATTTCAACTTAAAGGATATTCTGATTTCTTGCTGGAGGGCCAGAAGGGGAATCCCACTGAGAAGAGCTGGCGGCTCCTCATTAGGTCTGCTAAATTATCTTTGTTTACTACTGAAGACTGTCCTATTTACTCTAGAAGTGGAGAAATACTAATGCCAGGAGGCTGGGATGACCCTTAGCACTGGCCAATCTGTAATAATCTGGAGCAGCAACTTTTGCAGAGACTCTCTTGCTTCTTCCTTATTACATGAGAGCAAGACTGCTACAAAGGTAGAAAATGGGGAAACAAAAATGGGCCCATGGAATCTTTTAGAGAGCAAAAAATTCCAGATGTATTCACATACCAGTCTTTTAATCTCCATCCTAGAGTCTTTCCCAGATTTGGGCATCTGTGCTTAGCCTTTGCAGAAATTTGACCAACCCCTATTACCCTCAACTCTCTCACCCCTTAAGCTCCCTTCATTCATAGATGTCTCTCTTCCCAGATTAGGCTAGATTTCCATGCCCATCATGTTAGGTACCTCATTCTGCCTGATGGTTCCAAAATACAAGATTCCCCATACAGTACATATTTAATTTCTTCCAACAAGGTTTAACTAGCCCATCAAAGTTTGGCCAGTCCCACTTGGACACTTTTTCCCCAGAATGTCATTACCTCATCCAATTCACATGGGAGCTCTCTGTTGTTTGGGATTCATTTTTTTGTTGTGAAAAATGCATCTCCCCTACTTTGGGTCTTCTGTGAAGTCATTCTTCTCCGGATGCCTTGTCAAATGAAATTTTCCTGAACAAATCTTTCTACCTTTGACCTGCTCTGGGTAGGTCTCATGTATTTCATTTTTCATACATGAATTTCATTTTTCATACATGTCCATTCAAACAAATACATGATATAAAGCTAGACATGCTCATGATACCATGACATTATGGAGCATTACAAGCTAGTGACAATATCCCAGCCTTAAGGGTTCATTAAGTAATGTGATTATACATGGTTAAGGTATACAGTACATGAATTATACTGATTTAAATAGTTTGTATACATTCATATTTGTCTGATTTATACCCCCACCTTTAATTCAGAAGCTCAAGGCAACGTACATTCATACTCCTCCTTTTTTCTCCCCAAAACAATAACCCCATGAGACCAACTGGCCCAAAGTCCCCCAGTGAAGTTCTATGGCTGAGGGTGGATTAGAATCTGGGCCTCCCAAGTCCTAGTCCAACAGCTTAACCTCTAGAACCGGAGCTCATGTCTTTATAGACATGGCTGCAAAAGCAGACACCATATTTGGGTTACAGTAATAATTCCTCCAGTCAACTACACTACATCTTGTATCCCAGAGATATATTCTATCAGCCATTCAGTAATATTCCTCTCAGTTGCTTTATCATTTGCATGTAGCAGTGACATTTTAAGGCCATCTTCCCTCCTGGTATGTTTGGAGTTGCAGCCAATGGTCTTCTAGGCTGAGTGTGATGGGAATCATGGTTTATAAAGATATAAAGCTGAAGGCATGCAATAGGTCCTTGCTTTGCGATGACTCTCATTTGCATGCATTGTTCTGGTGCCGGTTTTGAACAATGTCAGGAGGTAGTGTGGACTGAAGTGTTGGGATCAAGACTGTGGTTAACTAAGGCAAACCAGGTAGCACAGAAGTTTCCCTTCCCAAAAGCCACGTACTGTATAAATTCTGCAGCTCACTTTACCCCATAAGTAACTCCTCCCTGTACCGAACCAGCAGAAAAGTCCATTGCTGTAACTGACTTGACCCATTGCACTAAAACATAAGGTAGCTTGTTCGGTTTTGTCTCAGTTGGACTTGGGAACCTGGTGTTTTCTGTGAACCTGGCCACCCTCCCATGCTCAGCAAACCATGGATTTGAATGCATATGAAATCTTTAAATATGCTACATAAAATCCTAAGTATCATTATTCCTATCTTACTCTGAAATTTTAGCACACAGAGAGGCATCTACTGGGGAAAAAGCAGATAGGAATGTGACACACACAGATGGCTCAACCAGATTTACTCCTCTATAAAACAAAAGCCAGGGGCACGGCCTTTCCTCTCAGGCCTCACTGAAATTAAACGACACCATATTGAGCATTATAAGCTCAGACAGACTTGCTTTTTCAGAGGCATTTATTCACAGATCGTGTTAAGACTGGATGTTGTTGATCAGACCAGAGTCTAATCATAATCCATAACGGTAAGGTTCAAATACCCTGCTGAGCCAAAGAAAACAAACCACATTATGACTTAGCTTTATAGGCAAGACAGGCCATTATTATCAGTTTACTTTTGGTCAAAGACTAAAACCCACAGAACCCAACACACATATACGCCCACCCCTTTCAGTTCACATTCCTTCTATGCTCAGCCAAGATAATCATTAGCTCCCAGAAAGAAACTATTTTAGAGCTGAGTGGGTATTTTTACCTTGTTTATCTGCTAAGTCAGGAAAAATATTAACCAAGACTGATGACTTCAGGGTACAGTCATTAGCTAGGCACAGGTACTACAGTTAACAATGCTTATGAGTATTCATAGTTCAAACTGCCTCTCCCTCTGTGTCAATGGCCTGTTTTAGTCAAGATGCTTCCTTGGAGTAAACTGGAGAGCTGCCAAGCTAGGGCAAAACAGGTTGAAATGGGCTGGGTACCAGTTTCTCCTTAGTACAACAAAGGGAGAATTAAAAACAAGTAGGTCCGAAGCAGACTTTCAATATGAGGGAGTCTGTCCCAACTTTGTTTCTGCCAGATGTTTGGATTACAACTGTCTTAATTCCCATCTGTACTAAGAATTAGGGTGTCATCTTGATGCTCTGGATGCAACTCCTACAAACCCATGCTTTGGCCAACAATGAGGGTTGATGCACAAAACACCTGGCATTTATTCTCTTAAACCCCCAAACTCAAGGTGCATTTTGAGGTCCACTGAGGAGCACAGAATCACAAGCACCAGAAATCTGGAGTACCTTGAGGGGGTTGTGGATTAGGGTTGCAGATAGAGGTCCCCGATTGTTTCAACTCTGCCTTTTACTGGCATTGCTTTGCTAGGACAAGTAACAGCCACTCCTTCTACTTTCTCTCCAAGGTGCCCTTCAGCTGTGTTGTTCTGTAACACCCCCCAAATGGGACGGGAGCTGTAGTTCGGTATCTCTGAAGATGCCAGGTGGGGGAAGGCTGACCCCTTCAGAAAGTGCAAGAAAGAAGGAAAGCGAGAATAATTCATAAAGGAAAAGGCACCTTCCAAAGGCTGCTAACTGGGATTGGGTCGAGACCAGTGTCCCCGCTCTCCAAGACCCGACAGGAGGCCATCGGCGGTAGCCCTCATTCCCAGGATCACCCACCCACTCACCCCCGGGCTATCGCGGGGGCGCCCGCACCATCCAGCTTCCAACCAACCATTCGGGACGCGAGAGAAGAGCGGAGAGACTCACCGGTCGCCCGGCTTACGAGCTCCGGAGTGCCCAGCAAGAACTCGCCGCCCGGCGGTAGCGACACCAAAACCCGGCCGCGTGGAGTACGCAGCGGGCAGCGCAGAAAAGTCTCTCCCATGGCCCGGGTTCCGAAAGGACGGCGGCCGGATCGGAGGGTTGCGCTCCGTTTGTGAAACGGAAGGGGGAGACGGATCTTCGATCTCCCAGCTCCTTCCCGCGGAGCGCTTTCCTTTAGCTCAGATTGAGTTCTCCGCCTCCCCAAGGCGGAGAAACCCCCAGGAACCCGCCTGTAGCTGGCGTTATGAGCCACTTTCTTCCCGCCCTTGCCCCTGCTATGCCCCGAAGAGAGCCTGCCTAATGTTCACCCAAGACTGACCCCTTTTTCAACAAGAAAGCATATTGGGGTGGGCGCCCACTGGATGGCATGCGAGTTCAACACAAACTTTCAGTTATGGACCTTTCCTGGGGCTGTAAACTCACAAAGATGAAACGGGGGTTCAAACAAAATTATTGGGGGCAGAGCACTTTCCTTGGAGGAGGAGCATCCCAAAGATACATTTGCCTCATTAGATCATCCAATTTGGCCACTGCCACGTTTTACTTGCCCAGAGCATCACAAGATTTATTTCCATGTAAGTGTGCGAAGAATTTTTGCCTTGAGGTTTTAATCACACAATTGGGAGTGACTGAAGACAAAAGCAGAGATTGAGAGTCCCTGCAGAGGGACAAGGGGAGGAAAACTAGGCCACTGTCTCAAGGAGCTGAACTCTTAGTATCCTCCGGTATAAACCTGGTGTCTGGGTGTCGGAAAGTTGTACCTCAGCAACGTTTCACAGTCCATAGTAGTCTCACCTCTATTTTAGTTAGAAATATAGGGAAATTAACCATTTCATTCTGTTCTGTTCACAGAACTTTGGGGTCCCCTGAAAAAACTTTCAAACATTTTTTATCCATTTAGGGAAGGAATCTTTTCACCTCTCTATACCATTTGATGTGTCCATTAGAATCTGCCCACCCTACATAGATGTTCCACATATGCCCACTCTGCTAGAGATCAGTGGGGCTGGGACCCAGAGAATGAGATGCTCAGTAGTAGCCTCCTCAGTCTGAAACAGCAAGTCTCTTATGGTTCAGTGGTCCCAATCATTTCATCCTTCAAGAAATTGGTGAGAGCATTCTTAATCCAGAAGAATAATTAGTTAGGAAATTAACAGATTCTGTATGCACAGTAGATTGTTTTTATTAATATTTTTAGTTCAGTATATTTTAACCATTGTAACCAACCTGGAATTGCATCAATAGGAAGCATTCAAATGTTGATAATAAACCTAAATAAATAAACCAACCAGAGAACACCCAGCTTGGCTTGAAATCATCCCTCTTTTATAAAACGATCCTTTCATTGCTCCAACCAAGAATGTTATTTTTTATAGGAAATTAAATAAGGCAGATTTGGCAGCTGATCTCCTGATAATAAGATCTGATACCAAGTCAATATCCCTGGGCAAATGGTAGATTAAAGTTCGTTTAAGTCTGGATTGAAGGCAGGTGGCAAAACAAGTGAAGTGGGAAAAGGAAGAAAAAGAAGCTTGATGTCACTGCTTGTCCTTGACACTCTGACCTTGAACCTGAAGGGGCTGAATCTGAGTTAGAGACAGAGATGGCAGGGCTTCTTCAGATTAATATTTCTAGACCAAGTCTAGAAGTCCTGGGCCAACTTTGTTCTGTCTGTGCCCCTCAAGTGGTCAGCCAAAAGGTGACAACAAGCAAAGCCTATCATATGGTAGTAATAGATCAAATCAAATCAGATCTTTATTACGGTCATAGACCAGCACAAATAGTAATAGAAGGGGACAATATGTTACAATATGCTCCTTCCCGGTGGATCAAATATACTTTTCATGGGAACCAAACTCCCAAAAGGCATCATGGCATCAACAGAAGGCCAAGAATATTTTGCAAGTTTCTCTGTATGAGCTAAATGATTCTTGATTTAAAAGCATAAATTGTCACAAAGGATAAAAAACAGGAAAGCTCATCGCACTTCATCACTGGAACGTCATTTCCTTGTGCCTTCAAGCACTTTCACTGAGAGGAGGGATCATGGATGCCTCTCATATTTGTTCAGTGTTTTCCTGCCCACGCACAGTCTCAGATGTCCTTGATGAAATACAATTTTCCTCCTCTGTATTTGATTTCCACATAATGGAGCCACCTCTGTTAAAAACAGCAGATCAAGTCAAATCTGTTACTCTGTGCCTTGGTTAAGACTAGCCTGGTTTGAAGGAAGAGAGACAAATGCTGGGAGATTTTGGTATCCCTTTTCAACTGCTATATCATCCTGTCAAAATTATGATCCACAATTATTCCTAGTTCAGACTTAATTTGTCTTATGTTCATTGAATGTATTGACAATAGTATTCAGGTATTCTTATTATATTTCCCTTTGAACTGAAAAAAAAAATTCCCCTAGGATCACAGAATCAAAGAATTGGGAGGAGGCACGTAGGCCATGGAGTCCAGCCTCCTCCTCAATGAAGGAGTTCAAATTAAAGCCTCCCAGACCAATGGCTGCTGGCTTCCCCTTGAGCACACCCAATAAACAGAAACCAACCACCTCTCTGAGTAACTGGTTCCATGGTCAAATTGTTCTTGCTGTTGGGAACCTTTTTCTAACATTCAACCAGAATTTGATTTTCTATAACTTAAATCCATTATTCTGTGTCCTGTACTCTGGAACAAGAGATAACAGTCCAGGACTGTCTATGTGGCATCCTTTCAAGTATTTGAAGAGTGTCATCAATCATCTTTCTTCAAGACTAAACATGCCAGCTCCTTCAATCTTTCTTCACAGCACTTAGTTTCCAGTCCTTTGATCATCTTTACTGCCATTCCTGAAAAGTGTTCCAATTTTTCAGAATCCTTCAAGTGTGGAACCTAGAACTAGATAACAATACTGTAGGTGTATGCAAAGCAGAAAACAGAGCAGTTATTTCCTATTATTTGGAAATGTTATTCTAGTCAGGCAGTCAAAAATTGCATTTTCAGCCACATCATACTGCTGGTTCTTAGTCACTTTGCAATCAACTACCAAATTCTTTTTCTCAAATACTATTACAAAGCCAGGTATCCCCCATGTGATATATGTGCATTTGATTTTTGTGAAGAACTCTGCACTAGCTTCTGTTAAATTTAATTCCATTACTTTCAGCCCATTTCTCCAAGCTATCATGATGCTTCTAACTTCTGTTTCTGTCTTGTAGGACATCAGCCATCCCATCCCATTATCTGCAAACTTGATAAGTTTTCCCTTCCCCTCTCTTCACCCAAATAATTAATAAAAGTGTTGAAGAGTAGAGGACTCAGGAGTGATCCTTGCAGCATCCCACTTGATACCTCTCTCCAAATTAATGAGAAACCACTGATAAATACACTTTAAGTAAAAGTACTGATGCAGCTATGAATCTTCTTGTCTTGCCATCCAGCTCACCACAGTCTTTAATCAGTTAATGTTTTCAGTTACAACCATCCTTTACTATTGTTTTCCTACTTATTTGCTCTAGTTTTATATCAACCTGCTCTGGTTCAATAGCTCTGGTGAACACATTTTTCATTCCTTCACCTAAAATTTTACAAACTCACTCCTTCATCTTTCATGTGCCTATTCTTGATTTTCAAGTCTTCAGATTTTCACATAAGATTTCTTAATATGCCAGATAGGAGAAGATATGAGTTTATTACAGGAAAAACCAAACATTCAGAATTTCCCCCCTGAATGCTAGAAGCCCATAAAAGGGATGATGGAAGATGCAGTGCTCCCAATGGAATACACATTATTTTCTCAGAACCTTTGTTCTAGAGCAGCTATCTTTTCAACCCTGAAACAAACCCTGAGCCCAGGGGTGGGCGATCTATAGCCCCATTCTCATTCTGGCAGGCTCTGGAGTCACCCAAGATCATACTACTGAAGTCTGGCAGCAAATAACTGATTTTGTTTGTGGCATTTTTGTAATAAAAATGCACCAAATTCCCTTCAAACTCTATTCTTAAATGGAAAAAAAACCCACAACCAGTTGACCATTTCAGCCTTGCCCACCTCAGTGATATCCCTGCATCACTGCCATGCTGATTGACTTCACAGGCCTATAAAGTATTTCTTAATAGAAACAACATCCTTCCAAGGTTCAGCTAGGCTGCCTCTCTCTGCCTTAATTAAATTTCAACTACTCTCACCTCATTCAAAAAGTATTACATAAATCAGGAACTGACAGAAAGAGAGTTATCAGTTGGTCACAAAGGCACAAATGGAAAAACATGTACCGAGTACACCAGTGGTTCATGATCTAGACTAGAGATTGAATTCAGGCATCCCACTAAAACAAATAACACTATGGATTATGGAAACTCAGTCACAGAGACTGCATGGAGTCTACGTTATCCATGATATTGAAGCTGAGTACAAATTCCCCATTAATTTATTTGTGGAAAAATTTGAAACAGAGCTCAAAGCGCATATAAGGCTTCACTAAAAAGCCTAGAAATGTTACGTATCATATATGGTCATGCTTGTGAAACTCTTGCCTTCTAAACAATGCCCTTTTAATCAAATTGATTTTTGAGCAAAGTACAATGATTTATAATAGCTCTAGATAAGAATTACAAATAAAAAATGGAGTCATTGCATTCCTCTATTAGCTTTGGACCATTCAGCTCTTTATGACATGGCACTGTCTGCCATCTTGTCCAAAGCTTTCTGTACAGTTAGAGCATTCTTAGCCATGGCACACCAAGTCCAAATTAGTCAAAAAAGGTACAAAAAGTAGAGAATTTAAATGATCCTGATAGAAGAACGCGAGGCACTACCACTGATGATCTGGGATGAAAATGGGCAAGTCCCAGCTCAGAAACTGTTGCATGCTGTTATATTAATGGAATCAAACAGGGAATTAGAATTAATCTGCTGCACAGTCCAGCCTCAAAGTCAACAATCATATCTGTCTTATCTGAAAGACAAGCTTGGCCTACAAAGCGGCCAAATTCCAGTAGATTTTCCAACTGCAAAAAAAAGAAAAGAAAAAAGGCATAGGACACAAAAGCAGGCAGCTGCATTGAGTAATATCTGTGATTTCTTTCCCTAGTTTTAAATAGTGCCACATAGTACTCAATGCTCATTGCTCGATCCATATCTGAAAGCGTTTTGAGAAAATTTTAGTTCCCCATCTGTAATGTTAGACTTCAGACTTTTAATCATAAAAATAATAAACCATATTTTCTAAATTTATTTCCAAAGCAAATCTAGCATTACCATTAAATAATGCATTATCCAATTTATACACTGACTACTTAACATTTTGAAAACTTTCATCATTATATTTTATTATGTGCTGGTTATTAAATTCCCTTAATATTTAATTTAGAATTATTTCCACTCCTTTAAATATATCACGTGCACATGACTGATGTGCTTCAGAGTTTATTAAAAATTGTTCTGTTGGCTTGGACTACTTTCTTGTTGACAACTCCTCCTGATTTTTATTGGTTCAGTCATATGGATAACTTTCTTTCACAGAGAGAATGGCTAAGCCATTATACTCTACTAGAATCATTTTATTTTAAACCCGTTAGAGAAAGAAAAAAAAAGAGAGAACAAAAAGAAATAAATGATTGATTATCCTGCAGTCCGCTGATGTGTATGTTCCTGGATGTCCACTGCCTTCAGTACCCTTTCCTGGCTCCCCTCTCATTCTTGTGGGGATTCTCCTGATCAAGGCAATTCTGTGCCGCTTCACTGCATCCAGTTTCAGAGCTACCTGCTCAGATGGAGATGGGGAGACTGTGGCTATGCTGGGTGGAGCAATTCATGCCAGAAATGGATCCTCCTGTTTGCTCCTTGGCAACTATGGTTGAGCGATCACAATATGAACAGGTAAACCTTCATTGACATCTGTTGCAGCTGTGGATGGTGGAAGCTCCATAGGAGGTGCTTTCATGGTCTCTAAAGATGGCAAAGGCGTGGTAGGTGGCAATATTATGATACGTGTTTGTGTGACAGAAGTTGGTTCAGCTGTGAAAGGTAACTGCTTTTTGGTGGAAGATTCTCCATGGGGTTCGTGTCCAACAGTTATTACGTTCTCAGGCTTTTCAGTTTGAGGAAGGAAGTGCCTCGATGTTGTAGATGTCACATTCTCCTGGACTTTTGTAAGAGGTGCGTAATTGGTCGCTGTTAGTGATATGCTTGTTTGAGATATTGAGGCTGCTGTTGATACTTGCTGAGTTGCTGAAAGTGTCTTGATCATTGCTTTGGATGTGATCGATACACCTGGAGTGGCTGAAGGCAATTCTGTTTCCTGCTGAAGAGGATTCTCTAGGGATCCCTCCTGCCTTAGCCATTTTAAATGGGTTAAAAGCTGGGAAGCCAGAATAGGAGCCGAACAGTTGTGCAGGCTCTGGCTCACAATGCCCATTACTTCCCATTTTGATGTAGCTGGGTCATTGCAGATCACTGAACTACCTACAGGCACCTGCAGTAGAAGAGGAAAGAGGGCATGAAAATCAACCAGACAACTCAACGAGAGCCTAGAATATTTGTATTGGTGCTTTTTGCTGGTGGATTGGCTGTCCAGATGAGATTTTTATCACTGATGTTGTCATAGCAGGGATGGGTTCAGCCAGCATCACAGGCTTCTGACACATCCAATGAGTTCTAAATATAGATTTGCTTGGTTAGGAAATCCAAATGATTCCAGCAAAAGTTTGGTTTAAAAGTTTCAATGTTTCAGAATAATCTTAGGCTTAAAAACACAGAAACCATGCTGGAAACACACTGAGAAATCTACTCCCTCTTTGAAACAGTAGCATTCAGGTTTCAATTATGTAGATAAAGAAGAGGGCTTTGGGAGGGACATTAATTCAGTCAGTTTCACGGTCCTGAGTGCTACAGGAAATCTAACACAGGGAGTTAGAATTGTCACGGAAAACAGAGGGAAACTTTCTTCATCCACAGGTTTGACCTTGAGTCTATTTATATAGGTTACCCTGCAATCTGCGTGCTTAGGAGGCTTTATTCTTGCAACGCACAAGTTCCGTTCATCTGTAGATCCAGGCCAGTGCTTAGAACACTCTGAGGCACTCAGACCCTCCACAGTGGTCATCTTTAACAACAATTTCATGGTTCCTATGGAGAGGGAGAAAAGATCCTCAGCTACGTGAATTGTTATCGTTATATTAAGTTAAGGTTTCCTGCAATGCTTCCTTTATCTTAATAGGTGTGTAGGACTGTGCATATGCAATATTTATACTTTAAATATTGATACTGTTTATATTTTTAAAGTTAGTTTAAAATTATAAAATTCTGGAAAAACCTGCTTAACCTCTTCCCCACCTTCTGACCACATCTTCAAATATTTTCAGAGCAGCAAGAAGGATAAATAATTCACTAAAAATAATCTTAACTGCATATCAAATACTGTACTAGCTGTCATGCTTATCCAATAATTCTTTAAAGCTATGCCAGATGCACTGAATCCTGCCTTTAGTTAGCTGGTTTTTACAATAACTTGAAGACATTTGTACTTGTGGCTGTGACCCTCACAGATGGGAGTATTTCTGTAGTCCAAAAACCCAGACAGAATGCTCCCAAACTCACCATTATCACCTCGTTCAAAAATCCTACATTGCTCCGTTTTGTCATATGGTTTTTGTTCTTTGGGAATACAAGCTGGCCACATGTCTTGCCTTCTTAAATCAACTGGCTGACCAAGCAAGATGAGTCCCAGGTCATTATTGGGTGCTGTATTCCAGGAACTGAAGCCCCGATGTAGCAGAAATTGGCTCACTGTCTTGGTGGAGAAACGCCTGTGAGATCCAGTCAACTCTACTTGGCTCGGATTCCTACAAGACATACATAACAGCTCATTTTGAACCAATCAAGGGAACTGATTCTGGTATGCTCAGCTGTAGGACCTTCCCATAACCTGGAGGTTGTTTAGTGTTATATTCCCTTGCATGTCAATCATTCCTAGAAGGAAAAAAGTGTTCTAATTTCTTCCATTACTCACATCAGCAGGAAGCAGTTGGCTGCTGTCAAGACCCACCAACTGCTCAGGATAACTCCTTGGCATCTCTTGCCATTGCCATAGATGTTCACAAGCCATGGTACTTCTGGGATGTTTTTGTGTTCCGGGGACATGTGTTCATTTTTGTCCGACTTGGGTTGCACATGATGAAGATCACAAACTGTAGGAGACCAGTAGATTATTGTAGGAAACCCTAACCTAAGCATCCTATCTGTGCAATATAACATACTCTCCAGCGGTGGTGAGCTTTAGGGCTGGTCACAGAGTTAACCAGCTTACAAAAACTATAACTGGTGAAGAGATTATTCATTCACCAATATCTAGATAGTTAAGTGAATAAATAGCAATGTTTCATATAATTCTTTAATAAAAAAACAAGGAAGTCAAAATAAGGCACTGGAAGCAGAATTCCAGATACTACATACTGCTATCTATTAGTACTAGTAGTAACAGTAGTACAGATAATAACAACAACAACAACAAATCTGGAGCACCGCTTGAACACCATTGGCATTGACAAAATCACCATCAATCAATTGCAAAAGGCAGCTTTACTTGGAACAGCTTATGCCCTGCGACGATAACTTTAACATCATCAAATAACATCATCTGCTTATCGCACGTCCTTGGGAAAGACTCGATAGGTGGATAAAAATGACAAATCCAGTCTAAACATCTGGCTGACTAGGCAACCAACCATAATAATATAGTCCTAACTTCTAAATAATAGTTGTTTCTTGGGTCTTCCAACTTAAATATGTCACTTAACTAAAAAACAAACAAACAAAAGTGAGTGCTAAGGTTGCATAGGCCTCTCTCTCAGTCCTCCCAAAGGGGGAACAGGACTCAAGTCTACTACATTGGGTTGTTGTTGCTTACAGTTGGAGGAGGAGGAGGAAGACAGAAGTAGCTGGAAGATAACATACAGACTGAATAGATGCCCCATCTTCCTTTCTGTGGCTAAGGGAATTGCGAGAGAACCTGGGGCATCCAGGACGGAACTTTTGAGCTCACAAAAGGCTGATCTGTGACCTCAGCTACACAGAGGTCTAACGTCATGGCAGACAGTCTGCAGCATTGCCAACTCTTGATGACCCTTAGTGCTAAACGACTGTAATTTGCATGCACATTTATTTCAAAGATGCTTCTATTATCAGCACAATGAGCCACCCCCATTCCTAGTGCTCTATGTGTGTGTATGCAGAGCTGTGATGCAGTGACGGACATTGCTACACTATTGAAAAATTGCAGATGCGAATCATATTTTATGGCATTTGATGATCTGAAATAAGGGGCCTTTACAGTTTAAAAGAAGGTTTTAGCTGGCAACTTACTGATACATGAATAGTTTCAAATTAGCATGCTGTAGGTCAGAGTTGGGCAACTTGGGGAGGTTGAGGTCTACATTCCAAAAAAGTGGCATGTCAGAGGGCACACCCCACAAAACCCAATCTCATTTTACTTATATTTCAATGTGATTAAAACGACACAGTTAATAAAGTTAACTTTATTAACATTAACATTAATGACAATTTTGGAATGCCTCTGGGAGACTTACTTAAGGGCAGCCTACAGTTTTTGCTGTTGCTGAGACTTGTTCTTGATCACTGACTTCTCACACAAGGGATAGCTCCAAGGAGTATTTAAGGAGTGTGTCTGTGTGTTTTGCTATTGCACTGTCACTGTACTATATGTTTCCTCAGCCAGATTACAGTAGTACTGATTTTCTACCATCTCTACTAGAGTCTACACTCCTTTATCAAATGTTGAAAATTACGATAAG